CAGCCTAAATAAATAAAATACGATTGATGTATTATTTGATATTTAACTTCTTACCGTCTTTTTCTGGTAATAGAGGTTCCGATTCGTCCATATCATTTCTCTAGAAAAGTCATAACCGTCGACTATCAAATCTACAGCAAACACAATTTAACTTCAAAATCTTAATTTACATATAGGATATCATTCGTACTCGACCATACAAACTCAAGATCATTGTCGTAGTCAACAAGAACATTGCTTACACTTGCCATATCTCGATCAAGAATACTGCTTCGTTGTTGTAAAGGCCCATTGGCAGCCTGAAATGCAATCGTATAAGCTCTATTATGTTACATGAAATACTTACGCTCATAACATTAGCGGCACATTGAGCAATGTAAGTAACGGTTGTGTGGACGTCCTCGTAAGAAATTTTTCTTGCCATTATTTGCAGAGCAAGAGCTAGCTGATGGCATTTATCCGACGCAAGTATCTACCGAAATAGTTACTGAAAGGCTTGCAACAAAGTCAACTTTTTTGTTTACTGTAGTTGTCCTTGTCAACTGATTAGTGACTTCGGTAAGTTGACTCATCGTGGATGCTTGAAGTTTGATGCTGTCTACATGAGTGATCGAAAGATTGCTGATCACTGTCATGAGATATTCACGTATATTGGCATGATAATTCATCTGCTCTTTATACAGACTGAGAGCAGATTGGTTTAAAGATTTGACAAACTAGATTGTTCAGTGCGATCGATTTTCTTCGAAAGACATTTTATAAAAAAAGTGACTTACTGCTTGTAGATACATATTTCTAATAGAAGATACAAAAATGCTAGTGGGCAGAATACCATCTTGAAAATCAACCAAAGTTATCAATGCAAAGATAAACTCTTACACTTACTCTCAACAGCAATATTTATAATACGACTATGATTCTTGTTCAATATTTGTGAGAGTGAAGTGATCACTTGTTCAATAGCATTCAGATTACCACTGTTGAGCATTTCCATAAATGGATTCTTCGATAGTAGCATACCTGAATAATTTTGCAGATCAGCAACAAATGTGTCAGTGTGGACTAAATCTGGTACGACAATGACAGAGGGCATCACAAATTCCGTGACATAATCAAACTTATCCCGAATGTAAGCGACTAAATTGAGTAACCATGTGCTGTCGTTGCCAGCAGGTAATTGGACTTGAGAAACAGATGTTGTTGCAAAAGTAATCATTACTCGTTCCGATGGATCGGTTGTCCATGCTAAAATACAGAAGTCAACACGAAAATAAAATGATTCAGAGTCATAGCGACACACCATAGATTGAATAGTCTTTAATACTTCCATGGACGAGACTATTCGAACAGTTGATCGTAAACAAAGTGATAGTACTACCATTAAGTGGATTTATAGAACAAGAAACATTTTGAGATGGCTTTTCGATGAGAAAGTGTAATGCGCTCAAGCCTATATCTGAAGCCATTATGTAGATGACTTCGAATCGCCAAAGGAATATATTAGGATAAAGACGAAACATATCCTTTGTAGCAGTAAATTGACTTGTGTTTGTACCTATATATGTATATGATACATAATTAGTTTTAGTATTATGAAAAACACAAGTTTACATTACTAACCAAAAAACCATATATCTTGATATGCGTTCATTTGATCGAATGAAATCCATTCAATAGTATTCGTCGTTAAATTTCTTAAACCTTGATAGATATTCCATCTTATACTGGTTATTAATGTACAGTTAATGATACAATATGAGTAGAGAGCAACTTGTGTGGTTGGATTGATTAATTGAAATTCATGTTTAGGTATGCACATAGTCGAAATAACACAGCTGAGTAACACAATATAATTCAATACAACTATCATAGAAGGCCTTAATTTAGTTTTAAAAAAAAACTCACCCGACTACAACCATGCGGATATTAATATTTTTGACTTCTACGAGTACATAACCATTCGATCGAAAAGATGAATTGTGACGACTAACGACTTCAGCCATAAATTCATATGTTTTCCCGAATGCTAGAGAACCAGCATGAAAAGTAATCGCCGACCTCAATGAGACAGTCGGTTTGTACTCCCATAATGACACATTATCTGAACCAAGATAGCCTCACAAAAGATATCCGTAAAAACATCACTTACCAGATTTTCTGTCGAAGCATGAGTGATTTAGATTGTCGATTGGCTTCATCAGTTCATGGGCACGCAAACTGTTCGAGTCGAGTACTCGACAATAATACATATAGTACCAATCCTATCAAAGGCATGAAGGAATAATATCGTCAGAAAACTCAAAATGCTGAAAAGAACTTACGTCTGGATGGAACATATCCGAATCAAGATCAACTGAAAATGCTCCCGGATCTAACGCAAGATTTTGCTGATAACCATGCACGATCATTGACATCCCGAATGGAATTAAATTGACCATAATATCCGATCGTATGATTTTTATGTAGGCTGTAGCCGATGAGTTTAAATCAGGTGAATTGATCACTGTAACAGTTAGTTTCAACTCATAGGTGCCATAAGGGAAAGTTCTAGCTGGAATTAAAAGCTCTCTAGATGTACTAACTACAGATGGAATAACTTGCACTTGCACGATACATGTTGTGTTACAGATTGTGATTGTCCACTTTCTGATAGCGAACATTGAAGTGCTACAATTGGTTTCAATATTAGCACTAAGATAGAAATCTTGACTTCGTAAAATTTCTATGGGTGCCTCTAAACATGATGTGTCCATATTAATGGTGATTGTAGGTCGGAAACAATCTAGAATATAGTATAAATATACAAGTAAAGTTTTAGCAGATTTTTATTGATGGAAGATCAGAGTATACTTTGGTTTCCAATTGACACTGCAGTCGTTGACTGAGTTGATGTGGAACTGGTTTCATCTATAGAATATGGAAGAATTGTATGCTATGAAAAGTCAGACTATTTTAACTTTCAAATTTGTTTGGTTCCCGAAAGAACTCAGAAAGCAGATAAAATACTAATATATCTATCTTGTCAATCTAGAATATTTATATACCGAATACTTTTCGAATTAATGAAGATTTATCACGAAAATGTGCCTATTCGGCTAACAGACCTATTAGCCATTGAAAATGTTGATAATAAACTGGTTTCAACAAAGTGCATCGACACTTTCAATGATACAAAGAATAAATTTACACTGTAAAGTAGAAAATAAGTTATAGAGTTTAATCGAGGATATTCTAGGAATGCCTATATGAATTCACCGATGAATTTCTAAATTCTTGAAAATAAGATATTCCAAACATCAAAAATATCGATTTTGATTTTCCAATTAGAAAATCAAGAGCGAATTCATATAGGCATTCCTAGAATTTCGAATTCGATATACCAATTGGAATATATTCTAAAAACTAGAAAATCAAATTTGATTTTCCTTTCATCATATAGTTTATTTTATTTTGCTTCATTTCATATTTATCTATCTAATTATCCACTTATATAATTATCTATCTATCTATTTGTCTATCTATCCCACTATCTATCTATCTAACTACCTATCTATCCCACTATCTATCTATCTAACTAACTATCTATCCCACTATCTATCTATCTAACTAACTATCTATCCCACTATCTATCTATCTAACTATCTATCTATCTATCTAACTAACTATCTATCCCACTATCTATCTATCTAACTATCTATCTATCTATCTAACTAACTATCTATCCCATTATCTATCTATCTAACTATCTAATAAAAAGTCGAGAAAATGTTGAGAACAAAATCACAGTGATAATATCACTGAATTTTTTTTTGAACTCAATTAATTGTGTTCGTCAACATGGTACGGACGAAAATGAACTGCAGCTATAGAATAAATTATTAATCTACTCGCTACAGCCGCCGGAAAGAAAATGAATGATCGATGTTGTCGATTGATTTATATATTTCACTAAACAATGGCCGCTAGGCAGTTATTGTTTATTTGATTTTCTGTAAAAATGTCTACGATTTTTTAAATCTTGTAAAATCAGTTGTTGATTTTCCAATTTTTAGAAAATGAATTTTTTCGAAAATCAAATTGAATTTCTACAAATTCGAACATGCTTGATTTTCGAATTTGTAGAAATTCAATGAGTAAGTCATAAAACTTTAAAAATCCTTTAGCTTTTTTAAGCTCGATTTTCCAATAAGTAGAATTTAAAAAAAATTTACAGTGTAGTCATTTATTCACTAAAAGAAAAAAATACCTAGGCCCATTGTAGCCGTTGCAATATCTATTGTTGTTGTTGAAACTATGTCAAAATGCAATCGGAGTTTAAATCAAAAATATTTCTTTCCTATATGTTGGAACTACAGTCTAATAAAGCTTTTAGTTGCAACACATCATCGAATACAGGTGCAAGTAAACTTTTCACTATCAATATATGTGATTCAATTTTTTAAATATTTCTTGAAAATTTTCTCAAAAAAATAGGTCGATAAAATGAAATTCAAGCTGACTATTATAGCTTCAAAGTATCTTCAGGTGAATAACTTTTGAAAAATCAGCGGAAATCATACGTTCCAAATCTTGCCCACTCATCTTTAGGAATTATTTGATTGTGAACGGATGCTCGTACGTTTTCCTCTTTGCAGACAAACAGGAGTATATCAAAGCGCCATTTAGTTGAGTGTGTAATCAAAGGAACTCTAAGCAAAAAACAAAAACCTGCGATGCGGATGTTAGATTTTTTGGTGAAATATATCTCACTGTAAAATTAGTTTTCAATTTCATAAAATACATACCAGATCGACCAAATCTCGTTAAAGTTTCTTCTTGGTTTGTTGTAGAGCGATCTCAAATATAAATTTCGAGTTACCTTAAGAACTAATACATAATCTTCTTAAATATACCTATTTTATCAATATCTTCGGTATTTTGCAAAAATGTTGACGGCATGGTAGTTCCAGTGACACTTGTGGATACATCCGCTATATAATAAACATATCTTTCAGTAACGATTAAATCAAAAGAACAGCATTACCAAAACTAGTATTAGCTGATGTTGTTTCTGCAGCTGTAGCTAAATCTAAACAAGATCAAATAATTGATAACGGGAATCTAATCGTTTTATTTTCAAGTTTTCTCTACACATGTTTTACTAAAGTGTATATGTCAATATAGATAATAAGAAAACTTAATATTTCATTGAGCTTCACACAATATTTCATTTCGCAAAGTCTTCTAATATATTTTGGAAAAGAGAGCACTTTATTTGGCTTGTAAGAGATACAGTTTATATTGTATGAGATATTATTCCATGAAGTTAAAATTTTGTGATTGATTGCTTCACAATGTCGGAGCTAGCATTCATCTTACCATAATACGTACCAAATCAGATCGATGCCGTTCTTATTATTTTTGGATTTGTTTTCAAAAGGTCTCCAATATGCATTTCGAATTATTTTAAATGCTGAATTCTACTCTTCATATATTACCTATTTTATTAGTAGTATTGGTACTTTTTAAAGCTGTTGACAAGATAGTAGTAGTTCTAGTTACACTAGTTAACATGTTCACTAGATATTAAAATGATCTTTCAATAACAATGGAATCAAAAGGAAATCATTACTAGAGCTGGTTGTAGTCCACGTTGTCTTCGTAGTTGTAGTGGACGTTGTCTTCGTAGTTGTAGTTGTAGTGGACGTTATCTTCGTAGTTGT